TAATGCGCCGTCTCATCGATCGACGCTTGTGGCCGATTATTTGACCAAAAATCAGATTTTAACAATCAACCACTCCCCGTATTCACCGTGCGACTTCTACCTTTTCGGAAAAATGCATTTGCCGATGAAAGGAAAGCGTTATGCAGACGTGGAGGCCATTCAAAAGGCTTGCGGCCATACCGGGCAACGAGCTAAAACACTCGTTCGACGTGCTTTTGGACCGTGCAAAAAGCTGTATTAAAGCAGAAGGAGACTATTTTGAATAAAATTAATTGATTTTGCCGATAAAACCATTTGTTCTGTATTTTTTTTAAAGTTCTGTTTACTTTGGAAAGCACCTTGTATATAGAAATTTACATGATGCCATCTTTTTCCAACACTTTACTGTATGATGATGGAAAGTGTACTAAAAATTCTTAAAAACCCGACCACACTAACTAAAGATACATGACTATTTAAAATTATAATATCTAGTATACCGGATGTTTAAAAGAAATTTTTCTGACTAAGAGTCCTTAACAAAACTAATGCCGTTCAATATAGCAGCATTTTCTTAGAAGATGTAAGTATTTCCACCCAAATAAATTAGGCCAAATTAAACCATACTTGACATATTTTATACTCTCGCACCATTTTGCTATAAAACGTAGGAGTTTCACCTAATGATTACTTGTAACACCTAAAACTAATCGAAATAAATATAAAGTTATATATACGTTAGGTTGGGTAAAAAAAACGAATATTTTTTCTCGCTTGGTACCCTGAAAAATATGTCCTTAGACACCTCTACGAAAGTCTCTCCACGTAAGGGCTCTTAATCATAACAGAAAGGTCCTTCGTCTTACAGTTTTGTATGTTTTTCTTTTTTTATAGGAAACTGAATGCTCTACAACAATCGAACGGTTGAAATTTCATTATTAGCCCGATTTTATCCCTTCTTGGCATCACTACATATTATGTAATTACCAAAAAAAGACGCTCTGAAACTCTAAAGGAAAAGCGCACACCCAAAGTGGCTTACATATTTTGGTCAACATGACTTTAGATCGATTTATTTGCAGAGCTGTTAGATTGACCTGTATGTCTTTATGTTAAAAACTAATGCCAAATAGAGTTTTTTGTCTTCTAAAATTGACGATTAGAGTTTTGCACTTTTGACCACTCGTCTAAGTAGCCGTTAAGTGGCTGCATTTTTTTAAGAACTCATATGTTTTGGATAGACTCTGAAGGCCTCCTTTAAGAGAAATCTTTATAACGCCCTTATCTACAAAACATGTGCTTAGAGCGATAGTACAGTACTCATATTCCTAAAAGTTAGTTGGTTTGACATTTTATATTTATCCGAATAAATTTAATGCAAGATTATTACTCGGCGATATAGTATAAGCTCAACAAACAATGTTATCTTTCATAGTGTACTGCTCTTATCGTTATAAGCTGACTTTTTCCTCCATTCTAAACAGTGGGGGAATTTATACCATTCCTCAAATAAGATTTCAGACCTCCTGTCCTCCTGTGAACCATATTAAGCATTATGTTGATGAAATATGTATGTATTCATATGTATATATTTTTGTAAGGGTAAGAAATAAGAGTTGTGCCAAATCTTCAAGTGCGTCCACGGCTTAACTCTCTTTTTAAGTAGACTTGAAGCTTTGACAACCAATTGATCTATATATCGATTCGATCAAGTTTTTCGAAATCGAAATCAAAATAAATTTTTTTATTGAAATCTAGCTCTATGTACAAATTATATGTGGAAAGTAAAAACAAATTTAATCCAAAAAGTCAAAAGTATTTAAAATTAACTATTATTAGTGAAGATATACTCCGTTTCCTGCAAATCTGATCGAATTGAAATTTATAACCTAATCATTACTCGAAATTAATATTGAACAAATACAAGTTTTTATATTCAAAAGCGGTGGACGTTAATCAATAAAGAAATTATACAAACGAAAAGTAAAAACACTCTTTCAGAAGAAAATAACGTAACGTAACGTAATATAATATGTTATAAATATATGTTATGTAATAGCCATTCCGGTAGGTTTCTTTCAATGCGAATTTTAAAATACCGACGACTATATCCACTATATGTATATATGTATATATAATATTATATATAAAAAATACATAATACGTTTTGTCCGGGGTAAACTACTAAACAACTGAACTGATTTTAGTAAATTTTAGTGTGTTCTGTTTGTTCCACCCAATAAGATATGATATTTTATATCTCGATTGGTAGCTATATCCTCCTCGCGAATGCTGACCGGATAATGGACGTCGCTGCTAACACCATCACGGCTTGACATCTTGACTAGTTTTTTAGAGCAGGCCTTGGTGGTGCGAGTAGGCGGCGTCTAGCCAAGGCAGTGGGCGGAATACTTTCACCTCTTCCTGGTAACTTGCTTTGCATATGACATTGGTGGAGGGTATATCTACTTCTGTCATTGCTAATGAGGTACCTTGCAGTAGGTAAAATATGCTAGGGGTAGAGGTTCCCTGAACACAATATGGAGGACTCGATCGAAAATAACCTTCTATGTCCAGGGTGGCAGCGATGGCAATTGAGATAGCCAAGAGACACTTAATCGTGTCAATGAGTGCCAAAGCAACTTGGTTGGACAAATTACGGAGAAGAAGTGGAAAGAGGTAGAGATGAAGCTTCTGAATGCGCTATTCGCAAGACTAGATGAAAACGCACGCCTATGCCAACTTTCGATGGTGCGGGCTGGCTCAATGCAGTCAAGATCCTAAAGTGTAAGGACGACCCCTCATTGCTATGGGTAAAGGAAGCAGTTTCGAAGCTTAAAGGCCTGTAGCAACCGCAGTTGCATTCCGTCCATTCCGAAGGCGAGCGTCCTTATACCACGCAAGGTAAAACCGGAGGATGCACTGTGGCTACTCAGAGGACAAATTCCGGATTTGTTGACGGAAGATTGTAGGGTGCTGAAGGTCACCGACTCCAACAAGGAAGATAGCAGCCAAAACTAAATCGTCCAAATAAAAAAGTCGGCCGGGGATATTCTATACGAACGGTTGGGGAAGATGGCATGGGACGTAAATAGCGTGTACGAAGAACTCCGAACTTAACCTGAACTCTTCAACTAAATCTGCTCAAAAGAGAGGTAGCCTCTGCCGAAATCCTCCTCAATTTAGAGAGGATCACCTACAACATATCTTTTGTTTATGAGCAATGGATAGCCTCGGGAAATATGGTATCTGGACTAAAGTCAACCATACTATACATACTTCCCGTGAGCAATAAACAAGTTAAGAGCACCCATACTGGTAAAGAAAAGTATGCAGTCATACAGTTGACCTGACTGTAGTAGTCGTAAAGGATGGCAAGGATGCGACGCTACTCCTTGCATTTTGCTACACGTCTCATGATGGTGAACCGCCAACGGTAGAACTCCGGATGTTGGTTAACGTGGCAGATAAAGCAAAGGACCCCCTGGTGATAGGCGCAGACGCCAATGCGCACACAGTATGGGGTGGCGGGGATACCAACGAAAGGGTTGAGTCTTTACTAAACTTTATAATGACAAATAATATAGCTATAGCTAAGGGAGGAACCAACATATATTGGCCCTACCTTGAAGAACGTTCTTGATATAACACTAGCAAAATAATCACTGAGAAGATTGGGAGGTGCTTCGTACATCCACGTTTTCTGACTATATATATGTGAGATTTCAAGTAGAGTTCCCAGGAACCACTGGTAGACCTGATCAACATACATTTTACAGAATGCACGGACACTACAGATCTCCAACCTGTAAAAGATAGCGTAGAGTACACCTCTACAGATATTATAACTAAGGAAAAAATACTTTGGGCAATAAGCGGCTTCCAACCATTTAAATCGCCTAGTATGGACGGTATTTTTACAGCCATGATGCAGAATGTATCAACTGTGCTGGTACCTTACCTAATCACCTTTGTAGAGGGGCGAGGGTCGTACTCATACCGAAGGCAGGCGAAAGAGTCCACCTTTATTCATTCTATACCTGGGCCACCTCGTGTTAAAAATTGTATTAAATATGGGCGTGAGCTACTACAATATATTAGATTGTCGGATATTTCCCAAATTAATAGTTTTTTGCAGACACCCGTGGAAAATCAGTTTTTGCCCTAAAAACAAGGATCCAATATAAACAAGCTCTTTATTTTCAATTTAATCCATGCATAAATTATATCTCTACCCATGTGTATAACATGGAATTTTTTGATATTTTGTCTTAATCAATAATAAATTGATATTTTAATACAAAATTTTTCGCTCTACGAAAAAGATCTTACTGACATTTTCCATAAAACCATTCCTTTAAAAGTTATATGCAATTAAAGTTATACATGAAATGTACTGAGCATTCACACAAGTGACTTATACATTCTGGGTTACGACATGGTGTACTGTATGATTAGAGTGCTTAAATTTAACTGTGCATAACTTTTAAATAAATGTTTTTATGAAAAAAATTATCAATACCTTTTTTGTAGAACGGGAAGTTTTGTATTAGAAGATTGATATTTTAAAGTTGTAGGCTTATTTGTTTTGGATATAAAAAATTTATTGCAAAAAATAAAAAAAATCTCATGTAGAATGTATGGAAAAAGAAAAATTATTTAGGCACGGGTTAAATTGATAATAAGCAGCTTGTTTACGTTGGATCCTCTTTTTTAGGGTAAAAACTGAAATTTAAGGTAGCGTTTGTAAAAAACAAATCATCTTGGGAAAAAACTTACACCAAAATATAAATACAGATATATGTATATATAAATATAATGTTGGTTGGGGTGATATTTCGAGAGGTATAGAGAGTTTCCTTATGATATAGCTGTTTTCTACCTCCCCTTTTTTGAAATATTCATACTCATCAAAAATATCTCCAAACCACACATCAATATTCTAATATTGCACTCGCTTTATTAATTGAACTAAAAAATAGATAGCAACTACTTTACAAATATATTTATTGTAATAATAACAGCAAGCTTTCGGAAAATTACAAACATCGAAAATTCTGAACATTTTTCATTCGAGTATGGCAGAAAGCAATCTAAAGAAAGCCAACGTTTGCTATTGTTGTGCTCGACATACAGCGATACCGACGGACTTTTAATACGAAACACAATTTCTATCGATCTTATTATCGGTTCTAAAAGAGATTTGATTCAAAAAATTGTATAAACTCTTTTTATTGATATGTTTTAAAATTTTCAACTCTTAAGTGAATTTTTTTAAAGTAAATGTTCTCATATATTTTCAGGTTCTTGCCATTTGCCTAATACTTCTTTTGTGCGGTTTGTGTTTGAAATTCAAAGCTATGATAAAACCTCTCATATTGTAAGTTTGAAGACTGACCCACAAACATAATGTGATCATTTTAAAAATTTTCTCATATTATGCGATAGCTCCATTTATCATACTTTCACCTATATGATATGGTTACAGTTCTATATTGTGTATATTTCCACGTTTAACGTATCTTTACAGAACAAAAGCGGATAGTTTCATTTATTCGATGCACAAGCAATGCACGGACAATCAGAATCTGTATACAGTTTATTGACAGACAATCATTGGATAATCAGTTTATCTCAATGGGATACCATTGATGAAACTGAAATTATTGACGATTGCAAGGACACTTGCACCATTTTGGATCGGGAATGTATAAAAAAAGTGCTTGAATTTGAAAAAGGTTATCCAAAAAAAATGTTTGTGAATATGAAGCATTAAACCAATCGTGGCCAGATCTCATCATTGGCAAGCGTATGGCATATAAGTAAGCAAGAAAGAGAAACCTCATATTAGATATATCCCACATATAATTTAATTTTTCGGAAATTTTAAATTAAGACTGCGACTACAGATAGTAGTACATTATTTTGTAGTATCCTTATTTGGAATAAAATCACATTATGATAAGCGTAAAATGTTAGCTAAGATAGTCAATATCCGTATATTCGAGTATATGTTGGTACCGATAAAATCTGGATATCAATCTGATTGATACCGGCATTTTCGGATATTATTTTCTACAATTTTCAAACTCTTGGACTTATAATTAAGGATGAAACCAATTAAACTACCCATTTTCTGTGTTCCTTTTTATTTGTTCATAAAGATCTTAGGCAACTGTGAACAAATTGTACCATTGACATGTTGTAACTCTCATATGAAATTGCTCCATTATGGGGATATTATCATATCTAATTCATTCATAATATTCATTCATTCATAATTAAGTTCAAAATTATGGAGAGATCTTATCATATACTAAAAATATTGTATGTCATTACCTAGTTGATTTCATGCCATACATATCTCTCAAAATGTAAGATTCCTTAACAAAGGACATAATCTTGGTCATTAGATACACTGTAGTTTGATGCTGAAAATTGGTAAAATCGGTTCTAAACCATAATTTAGGCTAATAAAATATCAAACAATTCAAAATTTCGTCTAATAACTAAGTTTGAAGTCTATGTTTTGATTCCTTCAAATTGTGACAGTATATAGTATAATCTTCCTTACTTTTTATATTATAATCACCATTGTTACTATTTCTGTTTATTCAAATTAAAGTATGAGTTACATCGAAAATGACTATTCTTATTAATCTGTCTTACGAGCTTATAGAACGCTTTGTCTTTTGGATATGGCAAAAAAAAGGAAAAGAAATTTCAAACCGACTGCCTCCAAAAGAATGTCATATAAGTAACAAGTGTTTTTTTCGAGGTATAGAACTTTAAGTTGGCATTACTGTTCAAGATGCGACCGATTTAACAGCTGTCAAGTGATTTTTTCTCAGTTTGGTTTGGCAATTCATCATGAATAGACTCACGCCTGAACAACGCTTGCAAATTTTGCAGTTTTATTTCGAAAATAATGGTTCTGTGCGGAATACGTATCGCGCACTACGTTCATTTTATTATATGATGCGATGAAGCGCACTTCTGGTTGAATGGCTACGTCAACAAACAAAACTGCCGCATTTGGAGTGAAGCTAATCCTCAAGTGTATGTCAAAACACCGTTACATCCAGAAAAACTGACAGGTTGGTGCGCTTTATGGGCTGGAGGAATCATTGGTCCGTACTTCTTCAAAAATTTTCTTGCAATAATTCGATTGTTGCACATGCTGTTTGGCATGTAGCCCCATTTTGTTAGAACTGATGTTGTCAAAACCAACTTCTTCCAATTGCGGACATAAAAAGTTGGTTACTATCGATCTATACCGCCTCTCCATTGACAGTAACGGTGTCACCAGCGATTGATTTCACCAGACTAAAAATCACACCAAACTGTTAATTTAGGTGAAGATAATGGTTGTTCGACATTTTTTTTTACCGCACCACTTAGGTGAAAGTGAGCTTCATCGGAGAAGATCGAACATCGTTATCGTTATCCTTTTCAAGTTATTCCAAGGAAAAATTGGCAAAATCAGCAAATTCACGACGTTTACGGTAGTCGAATGGTTTCAATTCTTGAGTGAGAACAATTTTATACGAATGCAAGCCCAAATCCTGGTTGTGGTTTGAGGCAGTCCCAATTCTTGAGAACGTTTTGAAATCAACAAATTGCGGTCTTCAGCAACACTTATATCTCCGTTACTTCGAGCGGTCTTTTGTCTTATTGAAGAAAATGTACGCTCGAAATTTTCAACAATTCAACGAATAGCGAGCACAGGTGGACGATTAATACGACCATAAAATGGCAAAAGCGCACGAAAAGTTGCAATTGGAGAGCGATTATTTTGATAATAAAATTTAATAATTTGTAAACGTTATTTTTGCGTATATCTTTACATGATGAAATTATAAAAATTGCTGAATACAAAAAAACCAGTAAGGAAGTAAGTTCTAAGTTCGGGTGCAACCGAACATTTTATACTCTCGCAACTTGCAGTTTCATTTATTTATTTTATTATATGTATTTCAATTATATATCTTACACTTTGACCGATATTTTCGGTAAAAAGTCAACTGCACTGGGTTTGCTCATATTTAGTACCTAGGGGCTTGAACAGTTTTGGTTCGATTTAGACAATTTTTGGTCACAAGGTGGCATATTTTAAACGCATTATTCACTCAAAGCTTTACCCCGAAAGTTTTACCAAAGTTTTACAATCATTGTAGCTTGATTTTCATAGAGGAAAGTAAAAGAATCAGATAGAATCTAAAATTGTGTTATGTGGGCAGTAGGCATGGTTGTAATCCGATTTCACCTATTTTCGCACTATAACATAGAAATATAAGAAGAATGTTATGTACCGAATTTGGTTGAAATTGGTTAAGCAGATCGCAAGATATGGGTTTTCACCTAAAAGTGGAAGGTGCCACGCCCACTGTCAGATTTTGAAGTCGGTTCGTATAAAGTCAACTCATACCACCCCAGAGGAAAAACTTAATGTCACTGGCGTGTTTAATGCTTGATTTATCGCGCTTTTAGTATTTTTAACAGTACCGTTATATGGGGAGTGAGCGAGGTTGTCACACTTTTAAATCGATTAGGGGCGGGACTTCGCCCAATTTTTATAACAAATTTAAGCTGCAGATGTCCCTCTTAAATGTTATCCTGTATACCAAATAATAGTCTTGTATCTTGTTGTGGAGCTTAGTTATGGCAATTTATTTGTTTTTAATTAATGGCGTTTTGTGGGCGTGGTCCGATTATGCCCATCTGCAATACCAACCGTCTTACGGTACCAAGAAACATGTGTACCAAGTTTCGTAAAGATATCTAAATTTTTACTCAAGTTACAGCTTGCATAGACGGACGGACAGTCACCCGGATTTCAACTAGACTACTTAATTCCACTTCAAATTTTTATTTTATACTTTTTATGAACATTTTGAATTCTTTTTCAAAGAAATTTGTAATCTTTTCTTGTAGAAATCTGATTATTTAAATATACATTCATAACCCTATATCTAATTCGATTAGGTTTAGGTGATACAAACAACCGTTAGGTGAACAAAACTATTATACACTGTAACAACATGTTGCAAGAGTATAAAAATTACAAATCGTTACATATTAAAAATCGCCAAACGACACTTAGAAATCATATCATCCCTATTGGAAAACCCGATATATTGATTTGATGTGGGAATCGTCAATCAGAGGATCGGAATTCATTATCTTAGGGATATGAGGTATAGACCGAGGTCTAGACCAATTCCATTCTATTTCAGCGCTAAACCATATAATTTTTCAGAAAACTTATCCGTTTAATTTCATTATGGATAGAAAGACGAAAATCACTGTATGGAGAATATAATTAGGGCAGAGAAATGCATTAATTTGGGCATTGCTCAGATATACTTGAAAACTTATTTTCACGCATTTTTTTAAATATATAACTCAGACACTGAAGGACATATTCGGCATAAGGCTTGTTAGAAAGACGAAAATCTTTATATACTATATGGGAGTTAGATCTAGTATTGAACCTATTGTACCTATTTATGCCAATATCACATACTACTAACATGCCACATACTAATAAAATGCTTCTGCGGATAAGACTCCAATCTATATGGAAGTACAATATTTACCCGATTTAACCCATTTTTGACATAAAAGTATATTATGATAGAAGAAATATTTTCCTTGAATTTTAATAACATAAATATCTCACAGATTGACTAATATTTTCGGCGAAAAGCCAGCCATAGGCTCTGGGGTTCACATATCCGGTATCTGGCGGCTTGAATACATATGGTCCAATTTTGACAATTTGTAGACCTGAGATGGCATACCTTAAAGGAAATATGCGTGCAAATTTGTATTCTGATATATTATTGGTACTTGATTTGTATACTGGAAAGTAAAAAAAATCAGATTGGAATTTAAAGCTGTGTTATATGGGAACTAGGCGTGGTTACTGTCCGATTTTGTCCATTTTCGTACTGTTACATTGGAATGTTAAAATAATTTTTTGTACCGAATTTGGTTTAAATTGATGAGGTAGGTCTGGAGATATGTGATTTCACTTAAATGTGGGTGGAGGCACGCCTATCCCCCAATTTTGACCCCGGTTCCTATAAAGCTCCATTGTATCATCCTGGATGTAAAATTTAATGTCTCTATCGCGTTTAGTTATTGATTTATCGCGCTTTTAGTAGTTATTAAAAAAACCGTTACATGTGGGGACGGCTGATTTCATCCGTTTTCACACTGTCGGTAGGGGTTCTTATAGGACTTGTCCTAAGTGAATTTGGTTATTGTAGCGTTAGTGAGTTAGGAGATATGTACATTAAGGCGGACCACGTCCAATTTTTCGACATTTTTAGCCCACAGGTGCTCCAGCTTTATATCTTCATTTAGTGCTTAGTTATGGCGTTGTATAGATTTTCGATTAATAGCGAATTTTTTTAGTGCAGTGGTCCGATTAAGCTCACGCCCACGTGTACCAAGTTTATTTAAGATATTTTAATTTTTATTTAAGTTATCGCTTGCACGGACGGACAGACGGACAGACAGACAGATAGTCACTCGGAATTCAACACCATATATATTCCATCCAAAATTTGCATTCAAACATTTTTTTCGTACAAAACATTTTTTTTTGTGTTCTTTGAAGCGAAATATTGGACAAGTATTTTTTTATTTCCAGTCAATATGAACAATTTTGGAGGTATGCATTTTTAAAATTTCAGCTCGAGAAAAGTATCTTTAAACATTTGTGCATTAAATGAAAGGTATTGCGTTATAAAAATAATTAACTAGCCTAATGTTTACGATTTTTTCTCAGCTTTCCAATGAGATATACGGTGATTTTTTTTTTACTTTTTTTTATAAACAAAAGCTACATTTTATAAGGAACATTTTTTTCAATTTCAACCTATTTTTATTCAAATATACATCCATATTTGATATTAACTGAAATGAAAGGGCTAAATTAAATATATTATCATATAACGTTTAGACCAAGGTCTAGACTAACTCCATTCATATTCAACGCTAAACCATATAATTTTTATAAAACTTGTTTACTTAATTTGATTAAAATATAACACATGTTGAATAATCTAATCGGTTTAAAGTCAGCTGGAAAGTCGGAAATCACTACACAGGATGTTGGGGGCAAAAGAACATCTGGGCTTGTCGTGTAAGCCTTTAGCATTACTCAGTTATACATCGAGAATATATTTTCAAGCAATTTTTAAATAAATAATTCACACACTGACCGACATATTCGGCATAAGGTTTAATA